CCTCTCCCCCTCCCCCTCCCTCCCTCTGTCCCGCTCCCATGCCAGGTCTGAGCAGCACCTAGCAGTGTCAGGCACGGGTCTGCCGCCCCTGAGCCTCGCCCCAGCTCCCTCTCCGCAGTGTGCTAGAAGATGATTGAAAATGTATTTTAACATTTTCTCTTATTGCTGCCCAGAGGACCGGAAACCAAGCGGTGTGCACCACACTGGGAGACCCGAGAAAACCTGCTGAGTCTCGTCTGTCACGCGGTGACAAGGAAGCCCAGAATCCAACTACAGCGACTAAAGCACCAGTGCTCTGGCTGGCGAATTTAACCTGAACCCTGGTAAGGAGTGACTGCTGATGTTTTGGGACAAATGGGCTTGTGGTTCCAGCTGCCATCCCCGAGGCTGTGTTCAAGGGAGAGATGATGTGATGTAAGTTATGGAATGCTAGCCCGACAGTCATAATGCAAAGTAATTCTGTATCTGACATAAAGTACCTGGCAGTTTTCTTTACCCTCTAGGCTGCTTATCTGGAAAATGTAGGAGTTGCAGTAGAAAATGTCCCTCCCTCTCCCCCTGCCTCTCCCACCTCTTGTTTTGCATTTTGAATCAGGGCCTCCCTAAGTCACTGAGTTGCCCGGCTGGGCGGGACTCTGTGGTCTTGAGAGATCTGGGATCCAGGTGTGCGTACCCATGCCCAGCCTGAAGTGTTCTCTAAGTGGAATTCTTTTATTCTAAGTGTCTGGTCACTGATCGTAACCCAGTGATATAACGGTGTATGTAGTGATATAACTGTTTTGGTATATGATGTGTATTGGTTAAAACTCTCTTGGATACCTGACAAAAATATAAATATAAAAATTGACACTTAAAATGTGTATATGAAGTTTTGATAAGTATTTTTTTCTTTGTTCTACTTTCAGTTTTTCAAAAAATGTATTTTTTTGAAGCCAAGCCCCGTGACACCTCCTGGCACAGTTCATTTTGCTGCTGTTCTTCATGTATTGCACCTGCTTATCCTTCTACCCGACCTTCCGCACTGTGGGCTGGGGGTGTGGCCAGGGGAGGGCCTCGCCTGTGGCCCCGTGGCTGAAGGACAGCGTGCCCTTGAGCAGGAGCACAATAGCAGGAGCTATTGTGTCCCGGGCACACAATAGCTGGACGCACCACGGTGTGCACTCCACAATGTACTTTCCATTTAAAAACATAGCTGGTATTTCTGAAAGCTCAGCTGCCCACTCAGCCTGCCCTTTATCAGTGGCCATGGCTTGTCCTCTGCTGCGGAAATATGTCCTCACTGTCACTGAGAACCTTTCTGCAAGGCCTTCGGATTGCTGAGGAGCTTTTAATGTTTTCTTTTTTTTTTCCCCTAAACACACACCGCAGAAAAAACTTCCTCTATAAAAGCACTTTGATTTGATTTATTAGTCTTCTGGGGGAAAGGATAGGAGAACACGCTGAGGAATTGCACTGGAGAAAACAACCGGGCCGGAACCGGAGACTCCCTGCCTGCCCTTCATCCTGTGTGGCTGGCAAGGCTCACCAGGACGGCCAATCGTAGGGAGCAAGTAAGATGTAGAGAAGAAAAGATTCAGACAATGATACAGCAAGATTAGCTGGTGCCTTGGAAATGAAATTACGCTGGATCGGGTTTCTATCACTGGTGAAAGAATTGGAATTTTCTATGAAAAGCATGGTACTAAGGATGCATTCTAAAAGACTCGGTGTAGGTTTTATTTATTAATTAGACAAGGTCATGCCACACCAGAGAGGTTAACTCATTTACTTGCTCCTTCACCTGACTACTAAGTGCCTATATTGGCCCATACTGCTACAGGTACGGAGGATAGAGCACCCAGTAGAACTAAGCCCCTATTCTTTCGGGGCTGAGAAGCACATGTAAGGTGGCAGATGGGGTGGGACTGTAGACAGGACAGGGAGGAGGTCTGTGGGAACAGAAAATACTAAGAGAACGGAGCCTCTTCCCTGGCTGCCAGGGTCCCCGGAATTCTCGTTGGTTTTACCCACAGGGCCTCAGGCTGAATGAGTTTGGGGACCGATGTTCACAGAGACAAAGGAGGTTCAGCAAGTCAGCAGGGTGGGTGCTAGCCCAGAATGCCTGGTGTCCCCTAAGAGGAGGTCAGGACAGGCATGGAAGGTGACCTCTGGCTGGTGAGGAGGGAGGCCTGGGGAGGGCAGCTCCAGAGAGGCTCCTGCTTCAGCCTCAAAGCTGGGGAGGAGTTAGGGCGACTGCAGCAAACTGATGGTTATATTCACGGTTCATTCACTTGGGCCTCAAAGTGAGTGAGGGATTGGGTCTGGCCCCTCTGCGTTGAACTCTCACAGATTTAATATTCTGCCTCATGAAATTATCCTGAATTTAAATTTCACAGCATTGTTTTTTCCTATAGTTTCTCTGCTCAGTAATTTAATATTTTACCAGGATGGGAATTTTTCTGGTGACTTCCTAGAGTTATATCCAGTATGAAAGGTAGGTGGTGATGAAAAAAATCTGTCTTGAATTGGTGAATACTTTTATTTTTAAATAATACATATATCTTGCAGAAAATTTAGAAGATACATATAAGGGAAATAACCAAAAAGAGCACCTGTCACAGTACTCCTAGGGAGACAGTAAAATTACCATTTTTCTTGTATAGGAGAGGCCGTCTTCACAGTTTATACATAATTGCTTGTTATGTTTAGAATACCAATCTCTTGAAAATTTCCATATTTTAAAATGTTTATAAATTTTACTTTTTTTGGGGGGGGTACTGGGAATCTAACTCAGGTCCTTGAGATTGTGAGGCAGGTGCTGGAACCACTGAGCTAAATCCCTGGCCCAATTTTACTTCATTTAGGGAGCTTTTTTCAGCTTGGGCCAGACACCCATGGTTTCAGATAGCCTGGGAACACGGGACACTGACCGCCGTGGCTTGTTAGTTGCAAAGCCTCGGTGGCAGAGTGGCCGGCACACCAGTGACAGGACGCGAGAGCCCATCCGTCTGCACAGGTAGAGTTAGTAATTTGTTTGCTTCCTGCTTCACCTATTTAAAATCTATTTCATCTATGTTTTTAAACTGCTAACCTTTCTGCTTATTTTTCAAGCCTAACTGTATCTTGGAAAAGGAGACCGGGAGTCCCTGCATGGCTGTCAGGGTCAGGCGTGATGGCCCTGGGATGTCAGGAGCATTGGCCGGGTTCAGTCTGAGTCCACTGTAAGTGGCACCACGTGGGGTGACTGTCACCAGTGGCCGTGGAGTGACTTGTGTGGCCCGCCCGTGGGACCAGCTGTGCTGCAGCTAATGTCTGGCCCACGGGAAAGCAGAGGCCAAGAGGGGACGGGAAAGTGGCCGGGCCGAGGCCGTGTCTCCAGGATGCAGCCCCACTGCTCTGTACTCTCTGGGGCTCCCGGCTCTGACAGCTGGCGTGCATCTTGCTCTTGTGGTAACGAGGCCCTGGCATGATGGTGCAGCCAGACTCGTTTACATTTCCAAGTGGACCCGAGGTACCTTCTGTGCCTCTCTGAGACACAAGCCCATGAACTGGATACATTAGGTGATTTAGCTCCAGTTTTAGAATTTGCAGACTATTTTTAAAAGTCCTAAAAAGGACATTTTGTTATGCTTCTAATTTTAAGAGAGTATGCAACCCAAATTCCTCATCTACACTCATTCTCTAAAAAACAACCACCACTGTGTGCAAGCGCGTTTCCGCCTCGGTAGGCAGAGTTCAGTAAGTGGGACACCAGGCCTGGCTGCGTCCTTGGCCCGCAGCCATCTGAGCCTGGCCGGGACCAAGGTTCCCAGGCGGCCCTGCATGGTAGCCCTGGGAGGATGGTGAAGGCGGGCGGGGACGGTGAGATGCCTGGGTGACGCCGCCCACCTGTGCCCACCCCGGCTCCCTCGTGGTGATCATAACGGTGGCTTAGGACCACCCCGTTTTTTACAGGTCACTCTAGGAACAGCGCTCACATTTTGACTCCACCTCAACTTTCTTGGAAGATGAAGTCCTTTGAGGCAGAGAGGACCAGGACGCACCTCCAGTTTGGTGTACCTTGGAGAGACCTGTGCAGGGTGTCCAGACCCAAGATGCGCCCTGCACTCTTTTTCTCAGTGAGCTTTACACACAGTTAAAACCGAGTAATTTCATGACCATTAGCAAGCAAATGGTCCTTATTATTCGTCCTATTTTCTTGTAATCTACATAGCAATTCAAGCTGAAAAGCAGTAATTTATCTTGTTTTTCCCCTGGTCCCTCTCCAAACACGTTATTGTTCCCCAAGGAGCTTAACATATACTCTCAGCTCTCAAACAATTCCTGCACCCAATAGAAACAGAACGCCAATTAGACCGGTAATTTTAGCCCCCCTGCCTTGAATAATTTCCCTCCACAGAATTATCTTCTCTCTTCTTATTGCAATTATGAAGATTACATTTTATTTGACATGAGAAAATTGCAACAGAAGACCCAAGAGCAAATATGAAAGGGAAAAATGATTAAATGGAAAGAATCTGCTGGATAAAAAGGCACATCCCTGTCAGCTCCAATTCCGATAAGAAAATGCCCTATTGTTATTGGATGATTTAATGAACATTAAATTCTTTAAAATGTAGAAAACATCGTATTTTACAATATGTTTTCAGACTTGCTAAGATTTTAGGGGTGTCAGTTTATGTGTTTATTTTAATAATTTATTTGTTCTATATTTAAATGTCTTTCTTTTCAGGGAAGGGCATAAGGCAGCACTATTTTAAAAAGTATAAAAATTAAGCATTCTTCAAGCTTAACTACACGTACAGATTTTGGTACCAGGGATGGAACTCAGGTCCTCGCCCTTGTGAGGCAGGTGGTGGCACCACTGAGACAAACCCCCAGCCCACTTAACGACTTTTAGAATGTCATACTTTTATCATCTTAATATGAAATTGTAATTTTTCTTATTGGCCTCTTTTCCCTCCTCTTCTTATTTGCTTTTATTGGGGGAAGCAGGGTATCTTCAGAAAACTTTTTGAAGAATTTTAACAGTTTACATTTGTTTCCGATTAATGTTTGGGGCTTGAGTGTAGATACCTTTCCTTTTTCCTTCAGGTGGGACTACATGGTCATTAGTTCTGATAACAAAGGTGAAATTGCGTGTGGACAGGTCCAGAGGTCCACTCACATGAACCCTCATCAGTAAGGAAACACATTGCCCCTTCCCACACTGGGCCTCCAGGGGCCTCTGTGTAAAACTGTTGCTCAGTCTTTGTTCACATTCTAACAACTGACTTTACGCAGGTCATTACTTTGACTGCACTGCGGAACACCTTTACAAAATATAACTGAATGTACTTTCTACGGATGCTGAAGTGATTTCTTTTTTGAGACAGGGTGTTGCTAAATAGTTCAGGCTGGCCTTGAACTCACTATGTAGTTGGGGCTGGCCTGGAACTCATGGTGATCCTCTTGCCTCAGCCTCCTGAGTGTTGAGATTATGGGTGTCAGCCACCACACCGGGCTCTTTTGTTGTGGCTGTTAGCTTTTTTGTTTGTTTGTTTGTTTTGAATGTTGATATAATTGACATAAAAAGAATATTTCTGCATTTTCAAATTGCTATTCAAGATATTTCCCATCAAATAGTTTAATAGCCTACACGTCAGAACTCCTCTCCCCTTTCTTTCTGGAGCTTAGCTAGGAAAAGGTTTGTCTTTTGGGATCTTGATATCCTCGGCACACATCTTCTCACTTGATATGTTTATTCTCACGTGCCTACTTTTAATAACTCACCTTCTCATTTCATTACCCAGGTACTTTATTCTCATTTATTGTTCAGAGTACCTGTATGTACTTTTAGCAAAGCACTGTAAATTCACTTGGGAATGTTTGATGGTGTCAACCACCGTGAACCTATGCATCGTGTCTGTAATTTGAGGTTAGGAAACTGCGGCGCAGGTTTACTGCGGGTGACAGCAGAACAGGTTCATCTGCTCGCTCTTCTCTCCGACTGTGCCTCTGTCCTCACTGACAGCTCAGCGACAAAGAAGCTCATGAGACAAGTGTGGAGTCCGTAGTTTGCGGCTGCCCAGGGCTTAGCGAACGGCAATTCAGATCTTTGTAGGAATAATTTTACAATTTTTTTTGTGGAAAACAAAATGTCACTTTGGACGTTATTAAATTAGACGAAGGCACGAAGACCCGAAGGCCACTGTGCCCGCGGCCTGGGCTACAATGACAACAGCGGCGCCTTCGACATCGCAAGTCAGGGGCGAGAGGCAGCCGGGCAGAAAGCAGACAGGGCTCGGCCACCGCCAGCCCGTACTGGGTGCCTGCCCGGGCCTGGATGGGCTGCACACCTGCGACCTTGCCGGCCGGCCAGCCGCCACCCCTGTGAGGCTGCAAGACGCCCTCGGGCCTCGGAGGACGATCAGCGTCTAAGACAGGCAGGCTCTGCAGAAACTTTCATCCTGTTTTGTTGCCATGAAGAAATATGAGCTGGAAAACGAAGAGGGACGCGGCGGGAAGTAAATTCTTGGAGTACTTTAGAGTAGAAATCTTCACTCCTGCTTTGGAGATGTTAATTTGGCTTCAGCGCCGAATCTGCCCGCGTGGAAAGACTGAACTTTCATGATTCCCCGCGGGCTCCAAGCGCTCACCCTCTCTGTCGTCCCCAGGCTTCTGTGTCGCACGGGATGGCGCAGGCTGCTGCGAGGCCTGGCGAGGGACAGACACTGAAGGCTGTGGGGAAGCTTGGCGGGTCATCGTCCCTTCTCCTTACAGGACCTGCACAGGAGCACTGCGGTGTCAGAACCGAGTATATTTGCACATGAAGGAAGAATTAAGCTTTAGAAAGAACAATGACTAGGACAAGGCCAAATTTCAAATGTAAACACAGGGCGTGGCTGCTGTAATCTTACTAATGGGGGCGGTGTGGGGCTCTGCTTGTCAGCACCACAATGGTCTTCTCAGATGTGTCCAGTTTTGCAAAGATGTGCTGGATCTCAAGTCAGTAGAAGTTTACACACTTCGCACGCTTCTCCGCTGGCTCTGGAAAGGCTGACGGACTTCCCGGCTGTGATGTCCTCAAGAATCGAATTCACAGAGCTGGGAGGGCCAAGATCAGGGTGCTGAAGTGACCAAAGTCTTTCAAACAATACCCTACGTGGAAGCACACTACCGAGACAGGGTCGGGGATGTGCGGGTGGGTGGCACCTCCTCCTGGTGTCCTCTCTGAAGCCAGACCTCCCTCTAAGCAGCTCATTCTTTGCAGAGTGTGAGAACAGCTGCCCACCTGGGGCGCTGAGCAGCCTGGATTCGTGCTTACATTACCAATTCTGCTGCCTACAGAAGTTGAGGTTTCTCCATAGAATATTACATTTCCCAGGCCTTTGTGTGAATGTGATAAAATTGCAACTATTACTAAAGTTTAGCATCTTTTGGGAACAAGTCGGAAATCTGCTTACTAGCAAATATGTTCAATTAAAACTGACCCTGGTCTCAATTTAGGTGGCAAACACACAAGCTGAACCGTAGCATAGTAACACTGCAGTGCATCGGAAGGAAGACACTGTGCGACAAAGAAATGATTTTCTGAGCCCACACTGCAGTTGAAGGTGTTCGTGTGACCAGGGCTGGCCAGTGAGGTGTCCGGGGTACAGAGCAGAAGCTCTGGGCACTGGCTGGGAGGACAGGCGGGCACCTCCCCTCCCCTTTCCTGTCTTCATCCTTCCGGCTGACTGACTTAGAAGATTCTCACCAGGAGGTTCCCACCAGAGGGTGGAAACTTGGCTTTGTGGAACCACATTTGATTTGTTTACATCCATTTCTACCTGAAAGAGAGAAAGGCAAACTCTGTGTCTTTTATGACACAGTGAGGTGGACTCTGTTGAAACAAAACACTTTCTGTCTTGCTTGTGTGTGTGCATGTAAGTGTATGTACGTGTGTGTGTGTGTGTGTGTGTGTGTGTGTAGGGCATTTGTAGGATATGGGGATGAAGAATAAAAATATAGGAACCAGTAAAAGACCTCCTGCAAGGTTTCTCCTTCTAGAGAGGAAAATCTGAGTTGCTCAGAGGGAGCCACTCATGCAAAAAACTGTATTCTCCTTCCCTCTGATAGAGCTGTACAGAGCCCTCCTTAGCTCACTGGCCTCCACAGGCTGTGTCCAGTGCTTCAGCTGGGTTTTAGCACAATGAGTAAAATGTGCCGTGAAAACTCTGCTAATTGCAGTGCTTTCACTTTTCTTTCCTTTTTCTTGCACACTGTGACAGTTAAATTGAATTGTGCCAATTTGATTGTGTAAGAAAAGCCCAGGGATTAATGAAGTCCACTTCTGCGTGCGTCTGGGTGAGCCGTGACCTTGGGAACTACGTACGCGTCCTGGCCTCTTCTCCATCTCTGTTGCTCTGCTCTGTGTCCCAACCTTCATAAAGCAAGTAGCTTTCATCTGCCAAACCCCTCTGCCACGATATTTTCCTCTTGGAACCAACCAACCATGGACTGGACCCACTGAAACCATGAGCCAGATTAAAGCACTCCTCTTTAAATTTGGGTGTTGTTTGTTTATTGCCTTCCAAAATAACATATGTATTATTAGAATCATTTTAAAAACACAATACCCAGGATGCCAATGCAAGGAAATAATGACACTGGGGAAATTATTGACAGTGTTAAGTGCACACTAGTTAAGTGTATAGTAGTAGTAGTTAGTGTAAAGTGAGTCAGCAGAAAGTATTCAGTAATGCACCACAAAACAATATGCAGATTTCAGTTTATGTACGTGCATGGTGATGGATATTCTTGGTCTTTAATGCAAGCCAAAGTATTGGCCAAGAGAGTTTAGGAGTAAGTAGCAATTAAAACAGGAGAATGATAAAGCTCAGTTATCTGTTCTTCTACTTCGTTTTTGTGTTCCCAATTTTCCCGTTGTTGATGAGACTTGCTGCTGATGCTGTGTCTTCTTGTTCTAAATGCAGATGACCAGACATTTATTCAGTGTTATCTGTTGAGCACTTTTTATGTGTTGTCTCCCGCTATAGTTCCAGGGGAAGCCAAGAAAAAGATGAAAAGCAGAAAATGAAAAAGTTTTAGATCTGTGTATCTTAAGAAGAGCAAAATATATTTTTTTGGTAGGCCTGATGCTAAAAAAGCTATTTGGAAGGCTTTTCTATGGGCCTAAAAAGGATGCTTTTGAAATTCTTTTCAGAAATTACTTTCTTATTTTCATTTACCATAATTGTTCTAATCAAAGCTTAGGGGAAAATGTGATTACTGAATTTAAAGTTGGTTATTAAATGAGTATACATAAGACATGTAAATTAAAAGTGATAATGTTTTAAGATTAAAAACTAAAACATTGGTGTCATCATAAGAAGTTGCTATTTTCAAGGGCACTTTATAATTTACAATTTCATTTTTTAGAATCTGAATAACAATAAAGCTTAAAATGATTTTGAAGGCAATGGAAGATCTAAAAACTTAAATATGAATAAAAATTGAAATATGCCATTGCTTCTGGATTTACCACCAATGCAGAGCCGAAGTCCAGGCACCCGAGTAACACAGCAGACTGACCGATGCATATGTGATACAGGTACTGTGGGACACATCACCGTCATGGCTTCCTGCAGAGGTGTTAGTGTCCGACCTCAAACATGGCCTGTGTGTGCTGGGCTTTCCGCGGTACAGCTCTCTCATGATCCCCATGATTAGTGGTTTACTTTGCACTTCCTAATTAGGGTCTTCATCCGAAGAAGGAGGGGCACCCATCGTACTCATATTTGTCATGATGTTTCTCATCCGTTGCAGGTGTTTTGGAATTTAATGCAAGTTCATTTAATCAGTGCACACAGCGTGGGCATTTTAGAGCACTGCGTGTGTACAGTGCAATGCCACACATCAGGTCCTCAGAGAGTAAGAAATAGAGATGGGCACAGGGGTGAGAATCAAGGTCTGTGCTTTTCTCGGCTCTAACGTTATGGCCTCCAGGCGAGCTTCTTCCAGTTCCGCTTCTGCGAGCCCTCGAGGAAACGCAATTGAGCAGCACGACAGGACCACAGCAAAGAGGGCACAGCAGAGTGGTCCAGCCCGTCGGCCATGTGGGGCCTCTCAAGAGCGCTTCTGTTTGCGGGATTCCTTCCCTTTGGACCCTCAAGTAGAAGTCGGACCTCAGCTTTCTCTCGCAGCCGAGGTGCGAGACTCTGCCCATCAGATGCAGCGACGAGAACACACCTTCAAAAATGACTGCATCTGTACTGAAAGGAAAAAGGAAAGGGAAGAGAGGCGGAGAGGGAGAGGGAGAGGGAGAAGGAGAGAGAAAGGGCAGTGGCACAGCCTCCGCCCGGCAGGCTGGAGGGGACAGCGGGGCTGGGTCGCCTGGTTGCCGCTCGCCCCGGCCCCGGCTGGGCTGCTGCTGTCTCCCTACGGCATCAGCTGCAGGGTTTCTCTGGAGCAGTCAGGAGCTGCTTCCGGACCTGAATTTCTGGCCCTCTCAGAGCCTATGAATCACTTAATACCCTTCAAAAAAGTCCTTCCTGCTTAAAGTAGCTCAAATGTGCAAAAAGAGACCCAACTAAAAAAAATGTTATTTATAAGGACAAAGAGCAAGGAAACTGAAAAGAAAGGAGAAAGAGAGGCAAAGAATGCTCTTCCACAAGAAAACTGGGAAAAATTTTGCTTATATTAAATTTAGTTTAAACCAAGTTTTATCAAGCTCCTGAAATATAGAATACACCACGTGAACGGTTTCGAATTTATTGCTTTATTGATGTCCTTTACAATTTTACAAGCAACGTATGTGTGCCGTGTTATACCTTAGAGATTTACGAGGCAGAGAAGCAAAAGGCTGAAAGAACTGGGAATCAAACCCAGGTTTTCGCCCTCGAGTGGAGTCTCGGCCTCTACTCTTCCCAAACGGCTACACCTACACGTTTCAGGGCATCTAACAGTGAGAAGCACCACGCATCTCAACATTGTGAGCCTCTAGGTACAGAAACAGGGGAAAATAACCAGCGGTTCCCTTTGGTTATTATGCTGCCCAAGTTACGGTCCTTTCTCTGAGCTTGTCAGTGTGACCGCAGGCCAATCTCAGCAGCTGCCGCCTGCTGTACCTGTGCAGCCAGGGGAGCTCACCTGAGGGAAAACAGTCCCACAGCAGCACTTCAGAACTGTCTCCGAGAGGTAGAACCCCAAGAATAGCAATTCAAGCCCTCAGCGTGCTTATATTTCCTGAAATAAAAACGCCTGTTGACATGGCTGATAGTACTAAGAATCTGAACTCGTCCCATTTAAATTATTTTCTTCCATTTTGAGAAATGTTCTTGGCCAAACAGCATTCACAGAGAGGATAAAGGATCTGGTATTTCTCTCTGGCTTCTTAAAGAATAATAGAAAAGAAAACACATTGAGTTTTGAAAGTAACCAACCTGCATGAAGGGGAAAGGGTTAGGTAAGGGGGAAAAAAATCAGCGGAGAACCTGCCATACAATGAGATGATGGAATCTTTTTCTTCCTAAATTAGGATTTTCAGCTAATCATATTAATTTCACCTAGCAAGAAAAAATGAATTAATAAGACTATAGATTTAATTTTTGTGGCTCTACTAATATAAGATTCACTTAAAACTAAGGGTCAGCTGGTTTTCAGTCCCATGCAGAAGGCTTGCAGGGACGGCCACACGCAGAGCCTCCCGATGTCCGCTAGAGGGCGGCAACGCACCACGAGAGGCTCCGGAACGGCGCGCGTCCTCGGCGAAGCCTGATATTAAACGTGAAAGTAACCAGATCTTCAATAAATGGAAATTGAAAGAATGTATTAAGGATACTAACAGCCTCAAGACGTTGCCGACCGCGTGACTTACATTCGCGTCTATTCAGGCTCGCATCAGAGGGAGGGGAGACGGGGCGCCCGAAGGGCTTTGTTTCTGCGGTCCGGGGACCAAGGGACGCGGAAACGCGGAGCCATGGCGACGCTGGGGATGCCGCAAGATTAATCCGAGGCTCCTAAATTCCGGCCCTGACTGGCTTTGGATGAATAAATAGGTTGGGAAAGGACTAGAAAAGTTTTTTTCACCAACGTGTTTAAAAAATATTTAAAGACGTTTACTTTTTAATGTTCGTGTAAAGAGGATGATAGGAATAGATGGCTATAATCTGTTGTGGATTGAGAGGTTATTTCAATCCGTCCTATAACAGCATCTAAAGCATCTACAAATTAAATAAATTAGGCAAAGTGCTACTCTTCTTTCTTTGATCACTAGAAAGCTTATGCATGAATTTACTTTATATGAAATAGACATTAAGAAACTGCGGCGTCTGAAGTGAAAGGCAGAGTTGGCTACTAAGTTGTTCCTGGAGTTAGACATGGAGTAGAGCTTCCCTGCCTTTTCCCGAATGGCTGCTTCTGAGAGCGGGGTGGGTCAGTCCTTGCAGAGCCCCCCTGGCCGCTCGGGCTGACCTGGCAGAGCTCATCTTCCCCGAGAGAGTGGGCGAGTTCGCAGGGCCCAGGCTGCACATCCTAACAGATGTGCTGAGGCCGAGGCCGAGCAGCACAGAGGCTCTGACAGGGCCCAAATGGCACCAGGGCACAGGCTGGCCAGAGCGTCCCCCGACCAACCGTGTTTGCCCAGGGTTGCTGGGTCTGTCAGAGCTGGAGAGAGAAAGAAAGAGCCGCTAGGAAGAGGAGAGCTCACAAAGGGGCTGTGTCAGGCAGGCCCCTGCCTGACTGTCTGCCACTGAACAGCATCGCTCCTTGCCTCCAGGTCTCGGTGGTGTGAGAGATGCCCTCAGCCGCTCCCAGGTGCTCACTCTGCCTCTCCTCTGACCCCAGAACGTCTCTCTTCGGATGTTTCTTCCTTGGTAGAAGTCAGACACAGCCACACATTTCCAGTATGTGTAAATACACACTCAGACAACACACACCCTCAAGAGAAAACACCTCCATGTACCCCATGTACACGTCTCGATTCTTTTTAAGATCAAATTCATTGCCGTGCTCTATGTCCTTCCTCTTTCTACTTCCTCTTACTGTCTACTCCTTGAATCTTCCCTCCACTGCCCTCTCCCAATATTCTGGGTTTGTCTCATGAGCCGAAGGTCCCGAGTTTGATCCCTGGTGCAAACAAAACAAAACAAACAAAAAAAGGTAGAACCAATATTCTGGTTTCTTCCCCCACCAAAGCACACTAACTGCTCTTACCAAGGTGAACAGTGACCTCTTATTATGGCTGTGTCTGAATGTCCCCCAAAACCTCATGCAGTCATGGCCGGGGCCTTTCAGAGATGGCTGGGTCTAGAGTGTGTGACTCTAGGGTCGATTCATGGTGCAATGCTAGGCTCAAGGGCACTGGGATTAAGGGTGTGAGTGCTTCCCACCCTACATAGCCTGGATAAAGTACAAGGGATGGAAAGAGCTGTGGTCATCCCTTGCTGCTTTGCTGCCTTCTGCCCTCCATGAGCTGTTTCTCCTCTGCGATGCCTGTCTGCTGTAAGGACCAAGTTTTCAGGTCGAGGTGGGCTCCCTCTG